TCGCCGGCGCCGCGCGCGGCGGGCCCGCCGCGGCGCCGCGCGCACCGGACGCCGCGCGCGCCGCCGCCGAGCCTCGCGCATAGCGCATGGCGCCCCTGCCCTGCCACCTCGCGCCCGGCCGCTACAAGCGCGGCGCCTTCGCGCTCACCGTGCGCGGCGTGCTGTCGCCGGCCGAGGCGCGGGCGCTGATCGACGCGACGGAGGGCCGCCACGAGGCCGCGCCGCTCAACGGCGAGCGCGGGTGCCGCGCGTCGCGGACCGCGGCCGCGTGCGTCGTCGAGGACCCGGACCTCGCGGCGCGCCTCTTCGAGCGGCTCCGCGGCTGCCTGCCGGCGGCCCCCGGCGGCCGCCGCCCGCTGGGCCTCGCGCCGCGCGTCTCCTTCTTCCGCTACGCGGCCGGCGACTACTTCAAGCCCCACCGGCCGGCGCCGGCCGCCGCCGCCGGCGGCGACGTGCTGGCGACCTGCGTCGTGCACCTCAACGACGACTTCGCCGGCGGCCGCGTCGTGCTCTTCTCCGCGGCGGCGATGCACGAGGTCGCGCCGGCCGCGGGCGACGCGCTCCTCGTGAGCCACGACGTCACGCGCGAGGCGCCGGCGGTGCGGGCGGGCGTCAAGCACGTCCTCTGCGCCGACGTGGTCTACGGGCCGCCGGGGGGCGGGCGGCCGCCGCGGCCGCCGCGGCCGGAGAAACGCGCGGGGTAATTTAGCTCGACTTCAAGTTAGAATTCATTACCCGCCGGGCTAAAAACTATCAAAAGCAACACCTCAGGAGCTGCATCGTTGCGATTATTGAAGCAATTACACGCGATGGACGCGCTCCGAGCGTGGCCGAGTCCGCAGTGGTGAAGGTGTCTCTCTGCAGTAGGTGATTGCGTGGGACGGGTTCTTCGGGCCATTGAGGCGGATTCAGCACATTTCCTACTGCAGCGGCCGACGCCGTGAAGTCGGCGTTCCGGGCCTCCATGGGGACGACGAAACGGCCGAGATCGGCACCGCGGGGTGGCCCTCCACCGCTGGAGATGTACTCGATCCCACCGGACACATACTGGGGACGGGGCTCGGGCGGTGGTGTCGGCCCAGACCGCGTTTCTGGACGTGGGGGCCGCTCGGGCTGCCGCGCCACGTTTCTATGCGCGAGTTGGCGGTCGATGTTTTCGACGTCGATGGCCGAGCGGATCAAATGGGACGCCCGCGGTACATAGACGAACGATTCCCGATGCTCCGTGCGCTCGAACACGGTCGAAAAGGGTGCGGGGGACGCCGAAAACCCTCTTCCGACCCCTTGGGACGCCCCGCGCGCGATGCGACGCAATCCTCGGGAGTGACATCCCGCGGGGAATGTGTCCGCGACAGGGTTCCGGTCCTCGCAGCCGCGGGGATCGTTGCGCAACTCTGCGCCTGCGTCGAGCTACGGGCTGGAGAAGACGAGAACTTCGTCCATCGACGCTGCAAAAGGGCTGCTCGCAGCCTGATTGTTTGAGTTGCTTTTTCG